CTGTCCAGGTGTCCCTGTGATGGACTGGAGACCTGTCCAGGTGTCCCCTGCCTCTCACACAGTGTTTCTACTTCCTGTCCTCTCAAACCCAGCCACTGAAGCAGCTGGCTCGTCCTGATCCTGGTCCTGGTTCTGGTTCTGCTGGGGGTTGTTAAAGGGAGCTTTTCTTCCCACGGTCTCCTCTGTCCTTGCTCAGGATGAGACTGTGATGAAGACTCGACACAACCTGCTGCTTCCTCAGACAGAACTTCTCTGATGTTTCGTGTGAATGTTTCTGCTCAGCCTGACATGAATTCTGTTGGAGCTACAGAAATCAACTGAACATCAAAGACCACCGGGGGTTCTTTCATGTGCCGCCCTCTAGCGGCGGAAGTGACGCACAGCTCCTCCCGCCTTGCTCCGTTCAGGTGAGCTGGTTAATGTTTCACCTGCGTGACGCAACGTCACGGTGGACTCGCGGCTCCCACCTCCACGCACCTCCACGCACACCGATGGTTCTGTCGGGTTTTCACGGCCGAACCGAACCGAGCTGAACTTCCGACCTCCGTGTGAAGAACCATGTCAGCCTCCGCTGTCTTTGTGTTGGACCTCAAGGGGAAGGTGAGAGGCTCCGGCCATGGAGCGCACGCGCACTTTTCCGCACAGATCAACCACAAAAGTTGAAAGAGTGAGTGAGCGCGCGCCTCTTCCTAACTGCTGCTTTGATCCTTAAACATCAAAGTCGTCGGTAAGAAATAATTAGAGGCCTCGCGACTGCTGTTTAATTTATCGGTCCTTATTTTCTACTTCCGGGTTCATGTGAAAGCACCTGAGCAGCTTCCAGGTGAGTCCCAGCACCTGCTTCCGTCTTCAACATGTTTCAGCGTCTGTGCTTCGCGCGTGCGCGTCATGTTTCACATGTAACATGACGCGAAACTGCACATTTTCACGAGACGTTCAGAAAAAATGTTTTAACTCCGTTTATTACCTTTTACAGACACAGGCTCACCTGAGCTCCAGAACCTGCTGACGGGTCAGAACATCTGTGAGCTGCTCCAGA